GGGTAGGTCCCAGGGGTGTCTGGGGGGTTCTGGGGGGTCACAGGGAGTCTGGGGGTCCCAGGGGTGTCTGGGGCTTCTGGAGGGTCCCAGAGGGTCCCAAGGAGTCCCAGGGGGTCCCAGGGAGTCCGGAGGTCCCAAGGGGGTCAGGGGGATCTCAGCAGGTCACAGTGGGCCCCAGGGGGCTCCCAGGCGTGTTGGGGATCCAGGGGGTCCCAGGGGGATCCAGGGGTCCCAGGGGGGTCCAGGGGGTCCTCACCGGTGACCTGGGTGGGCGCGATCTCGGCGGCACTGCGGGTCAGCTGCTCCGGGGGCAGCTGCCACAGCGGGGCCGGCGTGGGCCGGGCCACCAGCGCTGGGGACATGCCGTGGGACAGGGGCACAGGGACAAGGAGCCCACAGGGACCCCACAGGGGGTCCCAGCCCTTGTCCCCGTGTGCGTCCCACCCCATCCCAGCCCTTGTTCCCATCCTTGTCCTTGTCCCTGTTCATGTCCCCAAACTGACCCCAACCCATTCTGGTCCCCGTGTCCCTGTCCCCTCCTCTCCGTGCCTGGGACACGTGTGTCCTGGCCCACCCTGGCCCCATCCACGTCCCCATCCACGTCCCCATCCACGTCCCCATCCCCTCCCAGTTCCCAACCTGTCCCATCCCTATCCCCTGCCCCCCAGGGCTCCAAGGCCCCCCCATCCCCTCCATGTCCCCCTGTGTCCCCATTCCTGTCCCTCCCCTGTCCCCCCCCTTGTCTCCCCCTTACCAGGGTACCGGGGGAGGTCACTGCTCCCCGGGGGCTGCTCCAGGCCCTGCTCCTCCGAGGGGCTCAAGAATGCCGGGAGCTGGGAGGGGGACACAGATGTCCCCTCTGCTCCCCCACCCTCCCCCCAGCCCCCCCGGACCCCAGGACAACCCCCAAAGCCCCCAGTCCCTCCATAGCCCCCCAGGACCCCCCCAGTTCCCTGTGCCTCCCGAGTCCCTCCCCATCGTGCTTGTCCCCCCTTTTCCCCCCCGTGTTCCCCCCAATTCCCCCCAATGTCCCCTCCCATGTCCACCCCCATGTCCCCCTGTGCCCTCGCATCCCCCCCCCACCCCCCCAGTGTCTCTGCCCCCCCCACCCCCCACACTCACCATGGCCGGGGGGGTCACAGCTGTGGGGGGAGGGGGCGGTGAGACCCCAAACTACCCCCCCACCATGGGGTGGGGGGGGGAACACACAAAACAGGGGGTCACAGGGGGACATGAGTGACCCCGGGGGGGTCCAGGGTCATGGAGGGGAGGGGATGGGACACGGGGGGCACAGGGGACATGGGAGGGGGGATGAGGGACATAGAGGGGGATTGTGGGGAGAACAGGGATGGGGGGATGAGGGACTTGGAGGGGGACACAAAGAACCCCAGAACATGGGGGGAGACACAGGGACCGGGGTGGGCACAAGGAACCCCAGGGGACGTGGTGGGGGACACAGAGGACTTATGGGGACTTGGGGGAGTCACAGGGACATGGGGGGCCCCCAGGGGAGTTGGGGGGCACAAGGAGAGGTCATGAGAGTCCAGGGGGACATAGGATGATCCCCCAGGGGACATGGGGGGGCACGGGGGACATGGGGGAAGGAGGGATAAGGACTGGGAGGGAAACAGGGACTGGGGGGACCCCAGGGGACATGTGGGGCACGGGGGGCTCGCAGGGGGCGCGGGGGGTGCCCGACCTGATGGCGAGGGCACGTCGGGTGGCGCAGGGCTGGGGACGGGTGGGGGGGGCCGGGGAGGCCGCTCGGGGGTCCCGTCGGGTTGGATGTGGAGGGTGAAGTCGCTCTCGCCCTGGATCGTGAGGGTCTGGTGGGATGTGAGGACGTGGTACCCCTTCCCCGCCGGGCAGATGGCCTTGAATGCAGCTGGGGGGTACCGGGGGGTCAGGAGGGTCTCGGGGGGGACCCTCAAACCAGGATGGGACCCCCCCGGCTCCCATCACCCCTCACACACGACCAGGACCCCCTTGGATTGTGAGGGGCAGGTGGCCTTGAACACATCCGGGGGGCACAGTGGGACCAGGGGGCCCCCAAATGGGGCTGGGCTCCCCCACACTGCCCCTGCACCCCCAAACCAAGGCTGTCGGGGGGCAGTGGCTCCTCCAGACTCCCGTGACCCCCCCCCCATACCGGTGCCATCGGGGGGGCAGTGCTGACAGTAGCCCCCCTGGGCCCCCCCAGCCCCCCGTGATCCCCCTGTACCGGTGCCGTCGGGGGGGCAGCGCTGGCAGCGTCCCCCCCAGGCCTTGCCCACGCTGCAGCAGCAGGTCCGGCGCGTCAGGCGGGTGGGCAGGGGGTGTTGGCACTGCTGTGTCCCTGACACCAGCCGGAAGCACAGACCCCGCTCCTCACCTGGCTCCGCTGCGGGAGGGGGGAGAGGGGGGTGTCAGCACCCTCAGAGACCCCCCAGAGACCCCCAAACCCCCCAAACCTCCAGAGCCCCCACTCCTCGCTGAGCTACACTCCGGGGGGGGAGGGTCTCAGCCCTCTCAGTGACTCCTCCAGGGACCCCCAAGAGACCCCAACCCAGCCATCCCTGTACACAGACACTGGTTCCGGGGGGCCCCAGGACCCCCAACCCCCCATGCACCCCCAGGACCCCCAGCTTCCCCATTATCCCCCAGGACCCCCCATACGCAGGCACTGGCTCCGGGAGGGTCCCAGGACGTGCCCGGCTGAGCAGGAGCAGCGGAAGCTGCCCTGGGTGTTGCGGCACTCGCCGGGCTGGCACACGCCGGGCAGGGCACACTCGTTAATGTCTGTGACAGGTAGAACACACCTGAGCCAGGCAGGACACACCTGACATAGGTGTGACACACCTGACATGGGTAGGACACACCTGACACAGGTAGGACACAGCTGAACCCATCCCACACAGCCCTGACCCCACACACCCCCCACTCCCCAGCAGGACACACCCATTGGTGTCCGACAGACGTGACACAGGTGTGACAGAAGTATGAACGCCCCCGAGCCCCACACGCTCCCTGACACCCCCCCCACGCGCCGGGCAGGGCACACCCAACGTCTGTGACACACGTGAACACGCGTGAACACACCTGCACCCACCACACACACACGGCCCTGTGCAAGCCCCCGCACCCCTCACACGCCCGCTGGACGTTCACGCACACACGTCCCCCCCACATGCTCCCTGTGCCCCCCGTGTTCCCCCTCACGCCCCCCGTGCCCCCCACGCCCTCCCCGTTCCCCCGTACCCTGGCAGTGGGAGCTGTTGAGCCGTTTGTAGCCCTGGGGGCAGTCGCCCCCGCGCTCCCCCCGCGCCGCCTTCGGGGACCCCGACCCTGCAACACCCCCGGAACCCCCCGTCACCCCCAGCACCGGGGGGACACGGGGGGTGGGACATCTGGGTCCCCCCTGGAGCGGGGGGGCTTGTGGGGCCCTGAGGTGGGGGGGGCCTTTGGGGGGGTCCTGGGTGCCTGGCCCTGCCTGGGGTGGGGGGTCCCTGGGGGAGGGTCCTATGGGGACACGTGAGGAAGGGTTCCCTGGGTCGGGGGTCACCGGGGTTTTCCCAGGATGGTGTGGGGTGTCTGCAACGTCTGGGTGGGGGGAATTCCTGGGTAGGGGAATCTGGGGGTTTGAGGGGCTTGGGGGTGGAAAGGGGGGTTCCCACTCACCCTGCAGGTGGGCTTGGGGGAGTTCAGGGGGTCCACACTCACCCTGCAGGTGGGGGCACTTGTGGCACTTGCTCTGGCCCCAAGCGCTGCCGATGCTGCCACAACAATCCTCGAGCTTGGTGAGCCCCGGGAGGGGGTTGCTGCCACACTGGGGGGGGAATTGGGGTAGGGAGTTCAACACCCTAAATACCCCTGACACCCCCCCACCCAAACAGACACTCCCTGCACTCCCAGGGACCCCTGAGGACCCCCAGCAGCAATCTTTGAGCTTGGTGAGCCTGGGGAGGGGGTTACTGCTGCACAGGGCAGGTGTGGGGGGGTCAGCATCTCCAAAAACACCCCTGAAGCCCTAAAAATCCCCCTTGCACACCCAGAAAAGCCCTGAAACCCCAAATCTCCCAGCCCTCCATGGCCACCAGCCCCCCTCAACACTGCCCTGCATCCCCAACAACCCCCTGAACCCCAAAGCCCCCCAAGCCCCCCCAGCTCTCCACTCACCGAGTGCTTGGGCAGGGTCTCCTGGAAGCAGCGGCCCAGGGGTTTGTGGGTGTGGGGCCGGGGGGGCGCAGGGGGTTTGCTGCCTGCGGGGGGCTGGGCGGGGTGCGCCAGGAGCCCCCCACTGCCCCGGGGGGCCCCCTCGGGGGGCTGTGGCTCGATCCGGTGAACCTGCACCGAGGCCTCGGGGGGGTGATGGACCCGCACGTTCACCAGCGGCGGCGGCACCTGCGCTGGGGGCAGCAGCACCTGGGACCCCCAAACCCCCAAACCCGGCACCAGCACCCTGGGAGCCCCTAAACCCAGCACTGGCACCCTAGGACCCCTGGCACGGGCACCTGGGACCCCCTGAACCTCCAAACACAGCGCTGGCACCCTGGGACCCCCCAGCGTGGGCACCCCAGGACCTCCTGGGCCCCCAAACCCAGCATCTGTGCTGGAGGCACTGACACCTGGGACCCCCCAGCACCCCCTGACAGGCACCTGTAGGACCCCCCAGGACCCCTGGTATGGGCACCCCCAGACATGTGACCCCCAGAACCCCCTGCCCCCCAAGTTCCCCTCCCACGCTCCTGAGCCCCCCATACACCCTAACACCCCTGAGCTCCCCCAGCCCCCGGTACCTTCAGAGGAGTGGTGCCCGGGCCCCAGGGGCACCACGAAGGTGGCGTGGCTGACGTGTCCCCCCCCGTGCCCCCCGCCGTGCCCCCCGCCATGGGTTGCCCCAGGGGGAGGCTCGGGGGGGGCCGCTGCCCCCCCCGGGCCATCGGCAATGACCTGGACGGCGTAAACGGCGACCTTGGAGCCCGGGGGGGGCTCGGGAGGGGCATCAGGGGGAGCGGGAGGCGGCGGAGGGGGGGGCCCCCCCCCACGCCCCCCCGCGGGGACCTGGCAGAAGCGGCCGGTGAAGTTGGGGGGGCACAGACAGTGGGAGCGGGAGCTGCACTGGCCCCCGTTCATGCAGGGCAGGGGACACACCACTGTGGAGGCAGAACAGGGGTCACACAGAGCCCCTCAAATCCACTGAGCCCCCCTGCCCTCTCCAACCCCCCTTTAACCCCCCAGATCCTCCCGAGCCCCCCAAACTCCCTGAGCCCCCCCAGACCCCCTCAAGCCTCCCCTAATGCCCTGAGCCCTGAGATCCCCTGAACCCCCCTGAATCCTCCCAAGCCCCTCCCAAAGGCCCCAGACCCCTCCTGCACCTCCTTTGTCCCCTGCAGGGTCCCCCGAAGTCCTTGTCCCACTCTATCCCTGTGCCATCCCATCCCCATCCCCATGCCATCACAACCCCATCCCCAGGGTTCTCATTCCCATCCCCATCTCCATCCCACACTGCCCCTGTCCTGTTCCTGTCCTTGTCCTGGGCCCTAAACACAACCCTGTCCCCACCACTGTCCCCCCCCCGTCCCATCCCTGTCCCCATCCTCATCTCAGTCCTGGTGCTGTCCCAATTCTGTCCCCACTCCTGTGTCATCCTGTCCCCATGTTCACATCCCTGTCCTGGTGTCACTCACCCGCTCAGGAGCTGGACCCAGTCAGCATGTTGGCCATGTCCCCATCCCTGTCCCCATGTCCCCATCCCTGTCCCCATGTCCCCACCCCTGTCCCCATGTCCCCATCCCTGTCCCCATGTCCCCATCCCTGTCCCCATGTCCCCACCCCTGTCCCCATGTCCCCATCCCTGTCCCCATGTCCCCACCCCTGTCCCGGTGCCACTCACCCACTCTGAAGCCGGACCCGGTCAGGGTGTCGGCCGCGTGCCCGTTCTCTCCGATCAGGGTCATGTTGGAGCCGGGCTGACACGAGTCCCGGCACAGCCCCTTCAGACACGTCCTCCGGCAGATCAGAGGGGCGAAGACCACCTTGAAGCGCTCGCGGGCCACGGCCGCGCCCCCCCCGCGTCCCCCCAGCGCCGCCAGCGCCGCCAGCGCCACCACCCAGAGCCCCTCCCAGCGCCACATGGCGACCCCCGAGCGCGGGACCCCCGGGACCCCCGACCCCGGCCCCGCGAGGGGCGAGAGCTCAGGGCCGGACGCCAGGGACTCCTGGGGGGGGGTCCTGGACCCTGGGGTCCCTCAGGAGGTTCTCCCGGAGGCCTGGGGGGGGTCCCAGATGCCTGGGTCCCCTCCTGGGGGGATCCCAGATGTCTGGGGCCCTCTTGGGGCTCTCCTGGACCCCTCTCAAGGGGCTCCCAGACCCCCTCCAAGCCCCGAGGCCGAGGGTCCCCCTCTGGGGGTCTCCCGGGCTCCGGGGTCCCCTCGCAGAATGCGGGGTCTCCTCTGGGGGTGTCCCAGAGGCCGGAGCCCCCCCGCCGGATGCTGGGGTCCCCTCGGGGATGTCCCGGGCTCCAGGGTTCCCTCGCCGGATGTGGGGTCCCGTCTGGGGGTGTCCCGGACACGGGGGTCCCCCCGGTCGGGTCGGGGGGGGGGGTTCCCGCCGGACTCCCGAGTTCCCGCGGCCGCCCGGGATGGCGCTGGAATGGGGGGGAGGGACGGGGGGGCCCGGGCGGGGGAGGGGGGCGGGGGCCGGGCCCTGGGTCCGCTCCAGGAATTGGGGGGGGGGGGGGGGGGGGGGGGGGGGGGGGGGGGGGGGGGGGGGGGGGGGGGGGAGGAGAGGAGCCCGGATGGCCGGGCCGGTTCCAGCGCCGGGCACAGCCAGGGAGAGTCGGGGGTGGGCGGTGGGAAGGAGCGATGGGACCCCCGAAACTCCTGGGACTTGTTCCATGGCCAGGATGAGACTCCCCCTCGGATGCCTGGAGCCTCCCATGATGGGATATGGGGTCCCACCAAACCTGGGACCCTCCCAATGGGGCCCACCGGAACGCCTGGAACCCCCCCATGGGGAAACGGGGACCCCCCCAAACTCCTGGGACCACCCCATGTGGGGGTGGATCTCCCCTCAAACACCTGAGTCCCTCCAGGAAGTGATGGGGACCCCCCTCACAGAGCTGGGTCCCCCTCATGGGGAGATGGGCCCCCCCCAAATCCCTGGGATTTCCCCCCAAACCCCTGGGACCCCCCCAAAGGACCTCGCACAGGGCGATGGGGAAGATGGACCCCTCCCAAACCCCTGGGACTCTCGCAGGGGGAATGGACCCCCCGGAAGAGCTGGGACCCCCGACGACGGGGGGGGGAGAATGAGACACCCCTCCCAAAAACCACTGGTTCACCCCCAAGGGTGGCGGGACCCCCGACCATGAGGGTCCCCCCGCGCTGTTGGGCCCCCGCCGGGCAGGACGAGGCGGCTCAGGCGGTTTTGGGGTCTCGGGAGTTTATTTGGTCACAGTCGTCCCCCCCATCCCCTCCCCCGGACCCCCGTCCAGTGTCGGGACCGCCCGGGGGCGGGGCCTCCGCCGGGGGGGCGGGGCTTCCTGAATCCCATCAATGGGGGCGGAGCTTCCTGTTTGCCCGAAGAGGGCGTGGTTTTCCTGCCGTTGTGACCCCGCCCCGGAGGGGGCGGAGCTCTTGTAATGCCCTTTACTTTGACCAATGGAGCGCCTGGACGGGCGGGGCTTCTGCCACCGCCAGCTGTCCATCACGACCCGGCAGGGGCGGAGCCTCGCGGTGGGGTCGGGGCTTGCACCGCCCTCCCGCTCGTCACGGCCGCTCATTGGTCACTGGAGGGCGGTGGGGGCGAGCCCAGGCGCGCCGCGGGCGCTCATTGGTCGGTGAAGGGGTCGCGGGGGCGGGGCCCGGCGGGGGGCGGGGCCCGGCGCGGTCCCGCGGACACGAAGCTCCAGGGGTCGATGCGGGGGCGGAGGGGTGAGGGGCGGGGCCGGGCGGGGCCTGCGGGAAAGGGGGAGGCTTGAGGGGGCCGTGGGACTCCCGATGCCCCATGGCCCCCCCAAAACAGCCCCACAACCCCCAGAAATGCCCCACGGCACCTCTGAGCGCCCCCAGAGCCCCAGAACTGCCCCATGGGGCCCCTGATCGCCCCCTCGTGCCCCACAGAGCTCCAGAGCTGCTCCACAGCCCCCCATGGCTGTCCCAACCACCCCAAACCTGCCCCTCAGACCCACCAAGTGCCCGAGCCCCACTTACCCCACTCGGGGGTCCCGGCCCCCGGGCTCAGCTCTCGGGGTCTCCTGGCACCCCGGGGGGATGGCGGCAGCCCCAGCTCAGGGGTCCCAGGTGTCCGGGCACGGCCCAGCTCAGGGGTTCCGGGGATCCGGCCATGACCTGGCTCAGGGGTCCCGGGGGTCCCGGGGTGACACAGCTCAGGGGTCCCAGGGGTCCCAGGGGTCCCAGGGGTCCTGGCTCCCCCTTGCTCAGGGGTCCGGGACCAGTTCAGCTCCAGGGTCTTGGGAGTCCGGGCTCGCCCCTGCTCAGGGGTCCTGGGGGTCCCAGGGGTCCGGACTCCACTGGGATCTGGGGACCCGGGAATCTGGGCTCGCCCCAGCTCAGGGGTCCTGGGGGTCCCCGGGGTCCGGACTCCACTGGGATCTGGGGACCCGGGGGTCCAGGCACGACCCAGCTCGGGGGTCCCAGGTGAGCTCAGCTCCGGGGACCCGATGGTCCGATCCCGCCAGCGGGGGGAGAGGCGCAGGAGGCCGGGGGAGGGTGGGGGGCTGCGTGGGGGCTCGGGGGGGGCCAGGTCACGGCCCAGCCCCAGGGACGCCAGCAGGGCCGAGCCCCTCAGCAGCGCCCGCCGCAGCAGCCGCGGGGTCCCCCCCCGAGACCCCCGGCCCTCCTCAGCTTCAGGGGGCCCGGCCTCACCTGCAGGACACAGTGGGGGTCAGTGTGGGGGGGGGCAGGGATGGGATCCCCGGGACCCCCCGGACTCACCATTGGGGGATGCATCCCCCGGGCTCAGCTCGTCCGTGTCCAGGTACCAGGTGGTCTCATCCGGGCGCAGCCGCCGCCTGCGGGAGGGGGGGGCCCAGGTGTCCGAGGGGGCTTCCAGGTGTCTGGAGGGGGGTGGGACCCCCTTGACCCCCCCAAGCTCCCCAGGGACCCACCTGCCGTTAGGGGCATTGCTCTTGCCCCCGCGCCCCCGCGGCAGCTCCTCCTCCTCCTCGGGTTCCACTGGGGACAGAGGGGGGATGTCACCCGGGGGGGTGTGTGACATCACCAAGAGCTGTGACGTCACCAGAATCACCTCTCACCCCCCCGATGACAGCACTCACACTGGATGGCACGCAGGCGGGGGAAAGGGGGGGACCCCCCCGGCCCATCCTCAGGGTCGTGGCTTCGGGGGTCCCCTCCTGGTGCAGCCTGGACCGTCAGGCGATGCTTGAAGTCTGGGGGGGCACTGGAGTCAGCAGAGCCCTTGAACCCTGCCAAAACCCCCAAGAGAGCCCCAACAGCCCTCCAGACACCCTTCAGGCCCCCAAAACTCCCAGGGCCCTAAACTCCCCCCAAAGCCTCTCCAACTCCCCCAGCTCAAACAGCCCACTGCCCCTCCAGTCCCCCCAGAGCCTCCCCAGCACCCACAAAGGCCCCAGCTCCCAAAACCCCTGGGCCCCCAAAGCCCCCGGCCCCTTTTTCCCCCCGTACCCTGGGGCATGCCGATGAGGTCTGCGGGCCGCCGCGGCCGCCGGAAGGGGGGTCGGCGTCGCTTGGGGGCCGAGGGGGGCCGGGGAGGCCCCCGGAGCATCAGGCTCAGCTCCCGCTCCAGCACCTCCAGCTCCCGGCGGGCCACAGCAGCCTCGCGCTGCCGCAGCGCCTCAGCCTGGGAGCGTTGGGCCCGGGACGCCCTGGCCACAGCCTCCTCCCGGCTCCGCAGCTCCTGGGGGCACGAGGGGCACGGGATCGTTGGGGACACGGGGGGACATGAGGGGACATGAGGGGCACTGGGGACACGGGGGGACATGAGGGGGCACAGGGGTCCTGGGAACGCTGGGCCCTGGCCACAGCCTCCTCCCAGCTCCTGGGGGGCCATGGGGGGTCAGCGGGGTCACAGGAACAAGGGGGTCCCAGGGACAAGGACCAGCCACGAGCAGCACCAGGGCAGGGCCAGGCCCTGCTGCAGAGTTCTGGGGAGTTGCATGGGCATCCCAGGTGTCCCAGGGGATCTCCAGGTGTTTGCCACGGATCCCTATTGTTCAGGGGCTCCAGGGAGGTCTAGGGGTGTCCCAGGTGTTTGGGGTGGCCCCAGGAGTTGAGGGGGTCCCAGGGGTGTCCCAGGTGTTGGGGGTCCCACCTTCTCGCGCGCTCGCAGCTCGTCGAAGAGCCCCTGGATCTCACGGCGCCAGGACTCCTGCAGGGAGTGGAAGGACTCGGGGGGCCCCAGCCCCGCCGGCTCCAGCCCCCCCAGGCGCCGCAGGATTGCCCCAAAGCCCGGCCGCCGGTGGGGGTCCTGCTCCCAGCAGGCTAAGGGGGGAATCGGGATCTGGGGGGGCTCGTGGGGGACCCCAACATCCCCCAGGGACCCAGGTACCCCCTGGTCCCTCTCCTCTGGAACCCAGGGGTCTGGGCACCCCCAAACCCCTGGGGATCCCAATATCTACAATCCCCCACAATCCCCCACCACCTCTGAGCTGCCTGACCCCCCCCGCGGCCCCCCTGAACCCTCCCAGCCCTCCTGCCACCCCCCATACCTGCCGTGACCCGGGCGAAGGGCAGGGGGCAGTTGGGCAGGATGGGGACCCAGCCCCCAGTGTCACCCCATCCCCTGTCCCACCTGGCCCCCCCCGATCCCCCCATCCCCCTGTACCTGCCATGAGCTGGGCGAAGGGTGGGGGGCAGGTGGAGGGGATGGGCAAAGTCAGTTTGTTCACGGCCACCCCATAGGCCACGGCCAGGCCATCGATGCCCCGGTATGGCACCTCCCCCGTCAGCAGCTCCCACAGCAGCACCCCGTAACTGGGGGGGAAAAGGGGGGTCAAACACATGGAGAGCCACTGGAACACCCCCAAACCCATGAGGACCCCCTTGGATCTCCTCACCCTCCCCTTCTTGGACCCAGGTGTCTGGGTGCCCTATAACCCCCACCCAGACATCCCACAAACTGCTGCTCCAGGAACCCAGGATGTCCAGGTACCCCCAACCCCCCCACCCAGGCACCCAGGGGTCCAGGCACCCCAAACCACAGCCCAGCCCAGAGCTCAGGGGCGGATTCCCACCCTCCCAGATCCCCTAAGTGCCCTCTGGACCCTCCCAGCCCTTTCCCACCTCCAGACATCACTGCCCTTGGAGAAGGTGGATGCCCGGATGACTTCGGGGGCCATCCAGGCGTAGGTTCCGGCCGCGCTCATCTTGGTCGTTCGCTGCCACTCGCGGGCGAGGCCGAAGTCGGTGATTTTCAGCGTCTTCCCGCTCACGTCGTCCCCCACAACCGGCTGTGCCAGCAGCACTGGGGGGGCGGGGGTCAGGGATCCCACAGGGACCCCCCAGCCTGATACCCCCAACCACCGACCCCCAAAACCAGCTGCACCAGCAGCACTGGGGGGGCCAGAAGTCAGGGACCGCCCAACCAGGGACCCCAGCATCTGGAACCTCCTCCATCCCGGGAACCTCTGCCTCTGTGACTTCCCTACTGGGGACACCTGTGTCTGAGACCCCCCACCCCAGGACCCTCACGTCTCAGATCCCCACCCTGGGGATATCAGCAACCAATGTGCCCCAAGTCTGGGGACCCCAGTGCAGGACAACCACCCCAGGGACCTTGGCCTGCGGGACCCCTGACCCTGGGGACCCCAGTGTCAGGGACCCCCCCACCCTGGGGACCCTGGGGATTGAGATCCCCCCCCCGGGGACCCCAACCTCTGCGACCCCCCACCCTGGGCATCCCAGTAACCGGGACCCCCAACCCTGGGGACCCCACACTGCACCCCACATCCTGTCACCCCATCACCAGGAGCACCCATAGGAGCCCCCCCAGCGCCCCCCCGCTCACCGTTGCTGGACTTGAGGTCCCGGTGGATGAGGGGCACGGGGGTCCCGGCGTGCAGGTACCGCATCCCCCGGGCCACCTGGCGCGCCCAGTCCAGCAGCACGGCGGGGGGGACCCTGCGCCCCGCCAGCGCCCGCGACAGCGGCCCCCCCGCCGCGAACTCCATGACCAGGCACAGGTGGGGGGGCTCGAGGCACACGGCCCGCAGGGCCACCACGTTGGGGTGTCGCAGCCGCGCGTACAGCCGCGCCTCCCGCCGCAGGCTCGCGGCCCCCGCGGCCCCCGCGTCCCCGCGCGCCGCCTTCACCGCCACCACCTGCCCCCGCCACGTGCCCCGGAACACGCGGCCGAAGCCCCCGGCCCCGATCACCTCCTCCAGCCGCAGCTCCCCGAACGCCGCCCGCTCCGGCTCCCACCCCCCCGGGGGCGACGGGGAACGCGACCCGCCCGGGGAGGGGGGCGAGGGGGAGCGGGATCCCCCCGGGGGCGATGGGGAGCGGGACCCGCCCGGGGATGGAGACGGGGAGCGGGACCCCCCCGGGGAGGGGGGGAAAGGGGAGCGGGACCCCCCTGGGAAGAGGGAGGAGAGGGGAGGTGAGGGAGAGCGGGACTCCCCCGGGGGGGACGGGGAGGGGGATGCCTGGCCCCACTCCATGGGGTGCTCCCCCCCGCCCCGGCCCCCACTGATGGCGCTGGGGGGGCCCGGGGGTCCTACAGGGGGCTGGGGGCTCCTGCAGGTGCTTGGGGGACCCTGCGGGTTCCTTGGGGAGTCCTAGAGGTGTCTGGGGGGTCCTATGTGTTTCTGGGGGTCCTATGGGTACCCAGGGGGTCTATGGGTGCCCAGGGGACCCCATGGGGCCCCTTTAGCTCCTGGGGTCACTCGGGTCACCTGGGCCCTACAGGTGCTGCCCGTAAGATCTGACAGCTCTGGGGGTCCCACTGGGGCACCAGGGGGGCTACGGAGGTCTGGGGGGGTCCTATAGGTGTCTGAGGAGGGCTATGGGTCCCTGGGGGTCCCAGGAGGTCCCCACACCTTATTTCAGTTCCTATGGTCCCTTATAGCTCCTATAGGTCCCTTATTAGTCCCTGGGGGATCCCTGTAGCTTCCAGGGGTCCCTGAGGGCCCCTATAGGATCCTGGGGGTCCCTAAGGGTGCCCAGCGGTCCCAGTGGCTCCTGGGGATGCCTGTGGTCCCTGTTGCTTCCGTGGGTCCCTGCGGCTCCTGGGGATCCCTGGGGATTCTTGGAGTCTCTGTAGGTCCCTGGGGATCCCTGTGATCCCTGTTGCTCCTCTGGGTCCCTACAGGTCCCCGGGGGTCCCTACACCTCCCCTCGGCCGCCACAAGCCCCTGCCGGCCCCAGGGTCCCTCCGCCCCCACCCCGGTCCCCTTCACCCCCCTGCCCGGTCCCCTCCGCCCCGTCCCGTCCCCCGGGGCCCCCCCGCGCCCCGTCCCGTCCCCGCCTGGTCCCGCCGGAGCTCCCGCGGCCCGGAGGGGGGAGGAAGCGGCGTCCGGCGGCGTCCCCGGGGGGGGGCAGGGGGCGGCCCGGCCGGTCTGGGCTCCCGGGGGTCCGGCGGTTCCCCGCGCTGGCTGAGGCGGCCCCGGGAAGGCGGAGCCGGGACATTGTCACCGGGACAAAGGAAAAGGAACCAGCGCCGGACGGGGCGGGCCAGGGGCACCGGACGCCGCGGGGGGGGGGGGGGGGGGGGGGGGCCG